AAACGGCATTTTCGTAAGTTAGAATTCCTTGAATCTTTATTGCTTACGTAAAGGCTTTGAATAAAGTTGAAGCATAACAAATAGGTAATGTAAGCATAAAATTAAAGGAAATTAAATAAGGCAGAGTTAAGTTCGAGTGTAACGGAAAATTTTCTACTTTACTACGAACTATTTAACCTTACGTTAAAATAGTGTAAGTAACTATTGTACTGATTTTAGCCTTTTTAGACATACTAACAAAAAAGTCTTTTCGTATTTTGTCAATAGTGTCGTTGCAGTCGTACATATAGTGCTACCAATCACATTGTATCCTACCTTATAGTGTTGGAAAGGTGAGTTTTTAATTTCATTTAACCAAAAAAATTAAATTCGGGGAATTTGAAAAAGACATACAGCTGTTCCAAAATGAGTGAAAAAATGAAGAAACGCTATATATCAAGACTTGTTTTGACACAAAGCATCCAAAATAAATATCTTATTTTCACTTATAACGATATTTGATTTAATATAAATGATTTACTCAAAACTGAACTTAACTCAAAACTAGCCTGCAATAAATGATAAACTGAAAAAATAAAATAAAGTTAAATTATAATATCTTTAGGCTACTCATCTTGGTGCTGTCAAAGTGTGCATGTTATTTCTGAGTCCACTTGCACGCAAATACACAGCCCACATAAGTATTATGCCTCAAGGGTTGCTTGGTGTGAGTGAGTATGTCAAATTAGGAATAACAGTTATATTTGTGATGTGAGTACGTATTATACGTGACGTGAGTGTCACTTCACTTTTTTTCCTACAACAACGAATGATACACACTTCACTTGTAGCAACGCATACACCGATAATTGCCGGTCAAGTGACAAGAGTCGTAGACTGCTAGGCTTAAAAGGTTTTGCAAAGCCAATTACGCTATTAACATACATACATAAATTTGTGTGTAGGTGTTAAACGGCAAGCACATACATATACACAAGCATGACAAGTGAGGAGTAACCAATGGCACGCACACGCAAGCGTGTAAGCAAACTATCGCCAACGCTAGTGTTGCTCATACGCACCGACGCACAGACAACAGCATGATTTGTTTGCTGTTTATTTTATAAAATATAATATTTATTTCGGTTTTGCGGTACAACACAGCTGAATGAGCGTTCGTTCTGTCACTGCATAACGGACTCATCGTTCATCCAAAACCTATTGTTTCATTGTGTTTGTGGCGAACATGTGTTCCATGCGTGTTGCTATTTCATTTCTATATGACTATATTCTTTACGACTGCTTTGTTGTTTGGTACCCGTTACTACTCATATTCGCTATTTTTGAGCCTATGTAATTTACGGTCTAGTGGCGGTGTTTACAATTTAATTTAGTTGTTGGCCAAGCCTTTGCTTGGTAGCGTAACTCTCTGGCGGTTTGTAGTGTGCTTGACCGCTTGAAGTGCATGGAACTCGTTTGTGCTGTTGTCGCTACAATATAAATTTATTACAGTTTTATTTTATTTTAATAGAAAAGGATGCCCAGGCAGCTCTCAGTGGTTGCCAAGTGTTTGCATTGCCGAAGGATATGTTGTGTATGTGATTGTACGGCCGCTCTCAAAGTGGAGGAGATTACCACTTTAGCCAATAAGTTTTAAGTTTGTGGAGGTTATTTTTTTTTATGTTGAAAATATTTTGAATATTTTACCATGTTCTTATTGCTGCTCTAAGAGCCTACAAGTACAATCAAGTATCAGATTTTCTTATCTATTTATAAATTCCGAAAAATTCTAGAACGATAATCAAAAGAAAAAGAGTCAGGCCAAAAGGCAATATTTTGTCAAATGAAGAGGAGTCAAGCCGAAAGGCTATTTTTGCCAAAAATCGGTTTTTCATGAAGATAAAACATAATTGAATAAAATATATACTGAATAGGTTAAATGGTTGGTGAGCAGTCCAAAAAAAAAAAAAATCATTGCAATAAGTATTGAAAAGTGGTGGAAAAAAATATTCATAAATATATTTTATATCAATTTTAAATCTTTTCGAATGCTATAATAATAACTTTTTTTTTTAAATCGTTTGTGGCTTATAAGACAACTTTTAGAAGAAGAACGCGGAGAAAGAGAAAACAATGCAAAATATTACTTTAAATTCATCTGAAATTTTGTGGGGACTAGAATACTTCATAAATAGTACAAAAAGCTTCGACAAAAGACTATAAATCGTCACATGAAATGTAAAATTAAAATTATTGAAATAAAAAATTTAAATTATGTTTTTTGTCGCTTACGATTTATATAGACTTATCATACAATTTTAACCTGCCGGTTTCACATATAACCAATATATAACCATTTCGTAACCAAAACCCAAAATTTTGTTTTAATATGAGTGCTTTCTATATGTCGTTTTTCCTTCGCCTTGTAAGATTAGAAAAAGTGATGACGTTATTTTACATTTTAGGTGAGATACATAATATCTTCGATTTTTATCCTTTTCGAAAGTATAATGTATGTTAAGATATAACAAAATGTTAGTTATTTTTTGACATTTAGCAAAAGAATTATATTTTTTACTAACATAAAGGCAAATTTGGACTGTTTTCGTACAGTCATTTAATATTTACTATTGTTTTTAAAATAAGAATACGAGTTAAAACTTTAAAATTTAAACTGAATTCGACACATATAAAATGGACTACTGTAACTCCTCGTTTAAAAATAGAAGTGTAGTTTCGAATTTAAGTATTAATACACTCTTCGCCTAAATGTAGGCCACAACTTAAATATTAACTCCTTTGGATTATTTCAATAACATTGGCTTCTTTTATAAAGCCATCCATCATTTGAGGGGGAATGATGATGGTATCTATACAATGGTATGAGAAATTATGTCCAAGGCTCGTTGATGTATAATGGTTTGAAAATTTAATTTAAAAAAATATGAAGTGATCTAAGATAAAACACATTTCGAAATGAGTTTAGAGTATTAGGTAGTAATTTAGAAATCATTTTTGTTTAGTCTTTGCTGGCAATAGTCTTAATTAATACGGAAAATAAATAGTCACTCTTAAGAAATATTATTACAATATATTTGGTTAAAAAAGAGGCTCAGTGAAAATTTTATTTACCAAATAATTGATTGTAAATGATGTTTAATTTTGAATATGTTCATGCAAATAAAGATCATTGGAAAAAATAACTGGACACAAAGTGCTAAAGTCGGTTCAGTAGCTTAGCAGCCCATTGCGGACCATCAACGTGACATATAATTTTTATATACTTATAAAGATCTAGTACATATTATAGAACTCATACACTGGATGACATATTCGGCATAAGGTTTGTTAGAGAAACGAAATTATAAGTAGTAAATGGGAGTGGGAGGTCGTATCGACCCTATTTTATCTATTTTTGCTCATCCGACATACTATCAATATGCCACATTTTCAAAAAATATTCCCTGGTTTCATTAGGGTACCTCACCTACAATCATCAATTATATGGAGTAAAGACAGCCGGATGTTCGAAAATCTGGATGTTAGGTATATGGACGACAGACCAAGTTTTCGCAATTTCATATATTTTAAGCACAAAGATACCAAGTTACGAGTAAAACACGCTCTGTAATTTTTATTGAGATAACTCGAATATTGACCTGATTCAACCCATTTTTGACATACAGAGTTATTATTGTTAGGGAAGTATTCTCTCGGAATTTTAATTGTATTATATATCCCATACATTGACCGTTATTTTCGGTCAAAAGTCAACTATAGATATTGGGATTCACATATTCGGTACTTAGTGGCTTGAATAGTTTTGGTTGGATTTGGCCAACTTTTAGTCATAAGGTAAGATTTTAATCTATATCTCTAGCAACATGTTGCAAGAGTATAAAATGGATAGTAAAAATATTAGTTTCTACTTTTTACAACACTTCAAAAATGGCTTGAAATTCACGACACAAGTCTAGTGTACTCCCTTAAAGATAAAAAGATGAACATTATATTCAAGAAATATGAAAATAATGGTAATATCAACGTTATGCCGCTTTCTCGAAAAATCATACAGTAACATTTTCTAGGAGCATTTTTGACATATAATTATGTTAAATAATAATAAAATATCAAACCAGTATATATGTAGAGATAATCCTATTTTATAAGATGAGGTGAAACTAAAGCTGCAACAAAATTTAAAACATAAAATCCTTATATAATCAATACTTTGATAATTTTCCATTTCAACTTATGCATAACAACTGATTATTTCAATTAATTAACGATAAAAAATATAATCGCTGACAATAATTTTGTAACAATGTAGCAACCATTGCTCTGTGGTATGAAATTTCTATCTAAACCAAGCAAAGAACAAGCTCGATTGCGCTTTTAAATGTTAATTAACTACGTGATGGCAGTTAGTCACAGAAAAACAGCAAATGAAAAGCGAAAATGCTGAGGAATTGACTGACGGGTAGGATTCCAGTTCACTGCGCCACGTTGCGCAATCAAATGCAGTTGTAAAAAATGAATAATAATAATGGCTGCAATAAAAATGAGAATTATGTACAACTTATAAATATTTTCAGCACAAAACCAACAAAAACCAAAGGAGAGGAAAAAATAAAAAATAAAAAAGGGAGACAAGGAAGGAGCTACGCACTCGACGTTGTGTTGTAAGAGCACGTAAGCAATTGTGGAACTTATGCGCCTCTAGAGTTCGTATCACAGCGTGCTGCAATCTCACTTGTCAATAACAGGAGACGCAACAACAGTCTTTCACTAGCAGCTAACTCGATAGGCATCTTACAAATACTGTAACCTTATCCTTTGAGTAAAATCATACTTAGCTGAATGCCGCAATTTTTTGGACAAAACATGTCAAAATATATTTGAAATTTACTTGAAACTTTTTCGTCTGATCGCAAATTTACTCCTTTTAAGCACACACAGCAATTTACAGTTACTTAAGTTATGATTTACTCCACACCGGCAACACCCCTTTCATAAATCACCTTTTTTTTTGCGAATAGAGTTCAGTTTTGCAGCCGTTCAAATTTCAATTCGTTTTCGATTATTTGTTGCCGTTTTCGAATGAACACTTCCGTTTCCACAGTTAACGTTATTTCACTTTACTGTTACGTTTTCGTTTCCACAGTTGACACGCTTATTGCCGTTCAACGGTTGGTTGCTACTTTGGCGCCACTTGTTGAGCGAATGTGTGGCGACTTCGTTATTTACGCGCCTTTTATAAAGTGAGTGCCGAACGCACACCAAAAAAAAAAAACAAAAAACACCGTAGCGCAAAAGCATATGTGTTCACCTTCAATGTACGCCGTCTGCGATAGGCAGTGTTCGCATGCGGAGTCCTCCACAACAAACCACACATACCCAAACGAGTCGTCGGCGGCATCAGCATCGGCATCGGCATCGTCATCGTTGTTGTGGTCGCAGTCGTATTGCTCGCTTTCGTCCTCATCGTTATTGCGCCATCAGCGGCCGAGCAAGTAGCAAACACAGCGTGTGCACACACGCACACTAATCCATGAGCGGCACATGCACACAAGTGGTAGCGCGAGCCGACGCATTGGCGATAAGAAGCATAGTGTCCGTCAGTGTTGCTGATAAGGCGTATGCAAGAATTGTCGTTTTTTTTGTGTCGGCAACAAAGCGTTCATTCGTTCACTGTTTTGGTTCATTTTGTGCGTTGTCAAAAAAGCTTATTTGGCAAAGCTTTTTGCAAAACGGTTTTCTGTAGGCGTTTATAAACGTGTGTGTGCTCGTTGTGTGATATACCGTTAAATTGTGTTTATATGACTGAAATGTATTTTGAAAAATTCAGGCTGCCGGTAAGTGAAACTTTCTTATTTGCAGAAATATGGTTGCGGCGCTTAAATAAAGAGAAATATCAAATAATATACATACATATATTATATATATTATATATTATATTATATATATTAAATAATATTTATTTTAAATATTTCATGTAAACAAAGTGATGAAAATTCTGCCTGTTGCAATTTAGCATTTGAATATTTTAAGAAATCCCGTCAAGTCTTTCGGTTTTCTTTCGGTTATACCCGTGACATAAAAAGGATTCTTTACTAGAAAATGTTATTCAAACAATGACTTGCACCCAAAAAGAAACAAAAATTGACAAAATGGCTCCATTTTGAGAAAAGGCGAATTCTAGTCAAAATTTTGGGTATTTTTGGCCTGCATAAATTCGATTTCAGAGCAAATACAGATACAGAACATGTACGGAACACTTGATAATCATCAAATCCTTTCTTTTCTATTATTCACTGAAGCAGATTTTAAAACTTTAATTTTGCCAAATGTTACATTTTATGGATCAAGTTGAACTGAGTTGTTACGCTTTAGAAGGTGGTAACTTTGAGATCTCGATTTAAAATTGTAGTATATCGATTTTAAAAGTCTAATCAATCTAAAATCACGTATGTTGTGTCTACGCCATTAAAAAAAATCTATCGAATTACAACAAGAAATGGGTACGAGCTATTATATAAGGATTTCAACAATTTAGGTAAAGAGTCATTGCAGTTTAGATATATTTTTTGCCAGCATTTTAACCTTAACCCATATTGACAATATCAGAAGTGTTTATATTGACGTTTGACATAATTAAATATGACGTATTAATAAGCTCATTGCATTGCATGATAATGTTGATTCCATTGTACTTGCTTATCTGGTTGGTGGGGGTGTATGAGCAACCCACATAACTTGAAAATTACCACGCATAATTTGTATATATTACAAATAGACATATGTATGTATATTAAAGAGGAATGTCTGCTAAGCTGACACATTTAATATTTAAAGTTTAATAATGCCACAGTGATGAATGCTTGACCAAATTAAATATTAGGGTGTCTCATTTTAAGGTGATATTTTTTCTTTCTCTAAGTTGCTTGAAAATCGGATACTTATAAAGAATAGAAAAATATGCCACTAGTGAAAAAATGTTTTGTGCAATATATGGAAAATTGATTTTTTTTTTAAATATTTTTTGAAATTTTTTTTCAAACTTTTTTTTTTCTTTTT